AAAAAAAAAAAAAAAAAGATGCGCTACAAAAAGATGGCACATATATCTTCCCTGAGAGGTTAAGCTGCTTGCCCCTAGTCATCAACAGTGAAATTGTGCTGGTCGCCTGAACTGGTGAGAGAGGCGAATCCATTGTCAGGATGCTGTGATATCTGTCCTTTGCACAAGGACTGATTAAATACAAGATTTCCTGAGTTGACTTTGCCCGGTTTTTCTTGAGCAGGGGGAGTTAGGATAGGGAAAGATTTGTAGATTCCATTTCTCTTCTACTTCCTTTAGGCATTGCCAGATGCTGAGTTGGTTTCAGAGTTTCATTTAGAAAGGAATCTGTTTGGTTAGGGAATATCTTGTCATTACCAGTCTTGAAAGTTCTTCTCAATATTTTAAAGAGTTCTGGGACCTGAGTTCTTGCTTTAATAGTTCTTTGGAGATAGATTTTGGCAAGCAGTTATTTACTGTGACTGAAGGATGGTGTGAATTCCACATGGCTTTCTTAAATCTGGGCATACTGACCTTGCATTGCAAAGCTGCCGAGCACCAGACAATATCAGAGGAATGGCATCTTTACCATTTAAAACTATTTCAGTTGGTGCCCACTCTGTGGGTGTGGCAGGATGTCTCACTTGATATGGCGTGAATGTCAAAATATAATTGCATCTGAAAAAAATGTGACAAATATTGTTTATCATTTCAAGTAATCTGAGATTTCTTAAATGGTCTTAGGCACTTCATGGAGGAGTCACAGTGCTGATTCTCAAGATACTGACTGGGGATGGAGAGGACTGGTGTTTACTTTAGCTGTGTTTCTCTGGAGAGAGAAGGAATAATTTGTTGTCTTTTTAGGGATGGGGAGTATAGAGAACTGTGTTACGCATATCTGGGTACTATGGGAACTGTTTTGTTGATCTGTGATTTAAGTTGGGTTGAAAGGTCTGAGAGAATGAATTTTTTTTTCCTTTTTTTTGAGACAGAGCCTCAAGCTAAAGCCCTGGGTAGAGTGCCATTGTGTCACAGCTCACAGCAACCTCCAACTCCTGGGCTTAGGCAATTCTCTTGCCTCAGCCTCCCAAGTAGCTGGGACTACAGGTGTCCACCACAATGCCCGGCTATTTTTTGGTTGTGGTTGTCATTGTTTTTTGGTGGGCCCGGGTTGGATTCGAACCCTCCAGCTCTGGTGTACATGGCTGGCGCCTTGGCCGCTTAAGCTACAGGTGCCACCAGAGAGAATGGATATTAAGGGTGAGGTAGTGGGAGAGATTGTTCTGAGCTGTGCCATGGCCTGGAAGAAGGTTGAGTGAGCTGGAGATGTGGATGAAGGACTCATGGGGTGGTGACGTGTGATGGATAGTGAAAGATTGCCCCTACAGTTTGAAAGTTTGTACCCTCTGAAAGTCATGTTCAAACTTAACCCCTAATGTGGCAGTATTGAGAGGTAGGGCCTTTAAGAGATGATTGGGCTATGAGGGGTCTCTGTCACCAATGGATTCATCCATTCACAAAGTGTCATGGGATTGGGGCTGGTGGCTTTATAAGAAGAGGAAAAGCAAACTGAACTCCCACTCAGCCCTCTTGTGATGTGATGCCTGGAGTGCCTCTGCGACTCTGGGACAGTCCCCACAGCCAGAGGCCTTCACCAGAGGCAGCCCCTTGGTGTTGGACTTCTCAGCCTCCATAACTGTGAGAAATAAGCTTTCCTTTCTGAATTACCCAGTTTCAGGTATTCTGTTATAAGCAATAGAAAACTAAGAAATTGCCTAATGAAAGCCTCAACATGGGGACAGAGGCCCATTGACTGGGTTCACAGGGCGACAGTCATTGATGGAGGGGGCTGGAATCCATTGAGCAAGGAGAAGCAGAAGCAGGACTTTGTTGTGGCTTTTTGATATGTGTGGCTGAGGCCCAGAGGATTGGAGGTCCACAGTCTATCTGAGAGCATTCCACCTGAGTCTGAGATACAGCTGGGAAGGACGAGGTCCACAGTCTATCTGAGAGCATTCCACCTGAGTCTGAGATACAGCTGGGAAGGACGAGGTCCACAGTCTATCTGAGAGAATTCCACCTGAGCCTGAGATACAAGCTGAGAAGGATGGAGAGAATAGAGACATATGTGGAAACTGGTTGAAGAAATGAGCATGTGTCAGGAAGGATATATTGCATAGCAGGGGACAATATATCCTGTTTTAAACTTTTTAAACAGGGAGCCAGTTCACTGTCCCTCAGACCATTGGAGGGCTGGACCGCGGGCCCCAGGATGAGTTGGCTGCTAAGCAGGACAGGTAGCAGCGGCAAAAACACCCGGTGGGCCGGATAAATGTCCTAGGCGGGCCACATGTAGCCCATGGGCTATAGTTTGAGGATGCCTGGCATAAGGTATGCAATAGCGTGAGCACTTATTTTTGAATTTTTGGCAGGATCTGTAGGATTTAGTGCAGAAAAATAAATTAGGGAAGATGGTGCCTGCAACAGTGTCCCACAGGCCATGCGAGGTGAGGAGTCACAGTAAGAAATAGAGGTCAGTGTCTGTGCCACACATTGCAGGCCAGAAGTCAGTGACCGCACAACTTCTAAGGAAGACAGGAAGGAAAACTTTGTGATCCCTGTAGGAGTCACCCTAATTCTTACTTTTCATTTTAATTCTGTTATGCCTCTATAGCCAAGCCCCTAGGGGAAGAGGGATGGCACTGTCCTGATATTTTGCCAAAAGGCTGCAATAAACTAAATGAATTGCAAAAATTAGAAACTCTTAGAAGGGCATGTGTTCTGTGCATCAGCCTGGCTCTGTGTTAAATCAACACTGATCGGTAACGTACTCATACCTGGAAGGGACAGTTCTGGCTTTTCTCTTTCTGATAACAGGATGGCAGGAACCTTGCAGCTGCAGCCACTGGTCGTGATCCTCTCTTTGCTGCCCCCCCCCCACCGTGGAGGCCCCCCGCTCTTCTCTGTGTCCTGGGGGAGTTGGGACCAGTGACCCTTTCACCGATTGGCAGCCCATCTGAGGTTTCCCTTCAGAGACAGAGCTAGTGGGGCCTTGCAGAACTTGTATTGAGGAATTCAAGGACCTTTTCTGTTTGGAAGCCTCTCAATGAGCCTCTGCGAGGACCTTGAGAAGTGAGCTCTTTAGCAATTAGAGGGGGTGCTGCAGGACAGACAGAGAGCTTCACAAGCGGTCACTCGGTGTGTGGGTGGCTGTTAAAAAGCCAGACTCTTGCAGTATACTGTGGGATCATAAATTCTACTTAAAAGGGAGTTGTTTCCTTCCTCTGATATTTGCCTATTTCAGTGTAGACCAGGAAGTTAAATACTTGCCACCTATAATAAGTGTTTAACTCAACAGAAGACACTGACTACATTTTAATTGAAATCAGTTTTGTTGGCTGACTGGCTGAATGAACGAATGAAATAAATTGCTCAGTACCTGGACTTTGGCTCAAAGCCAGGCTCTGTCACAGCTCTGTTCACCTCTCCCCCACCTCCTCCATGTGGTTCAACTTTTCACAATCTATCTAACCGCCTTATCTTCCAGCTCTCTAAACTTAGAACCAGGATTTTCTCCTCTCTTACATTTATTATGAGTGATTAATGCCAGGAGCTTGGAGAGCTCAGCTTTTAAAAACAAGGTTCTTTTACCTTTCCAAGTATTTTTCTTTCCCTGGTTGATCTTTATTTATGCAGACTAGAGTCCAGCTCTGAGCGACTAACCCACTTGCAGAATACCTTCCCACAGACATGATGAGAGCCGTTTGTTTACGCTTGGCAGCGGTTAGGGCGGTTTTGATTTGAGAGATCCTAGAACACATTCTTTGCCTTTTGGTTTTGGAAAAGTCAAGCTTTGCTGATAATCAGCAACTAGAACTTTAACCAGCGTCCTAGACCCCCTGCCTGTTACTTTGTGAGCTGAATGAACCAAGCAAAGCAAGACGCCTCGTTTCTTGGTAAGGCACTAAAAGAAAGGGTTATTATGTTTTGTTTTGTCTTGAAAAGCATGTTAACACCTACATTTTTTGTTCTATCAGCAAAATCTTGAAACTATACTTTGAAATTAAACACTAAAAAGAAAACAATAACATCAGACAAAAGTGAGAACAACTGGTGGGGGTGGCAGACCGGGCGGGAGCCAGAGGATGGCCCAGCCCTTCCTTGCCGCTCTGTGTAGTGAAGTGTGACGTTCTCCTCTGTGCCCGATTCTGTCCAGCAAAATGGGAGAGTCATAACATTTACCAGTAAATAATTCTTTAAAAAACTAGTATTTTAAAAATACCTCCCCGGTTCCTTGGTAAACTTTTAATGGGGTGTGATTTAGTGAAAGAGGCAGTCTCAGAGCCCTAACTGTGCCATCTTTTTGAGATAAACAGACACCATTAACATCCTTTGGGGCATGTGGGGGTGGGGGAGGCAGATACCTGGATTAAATACAGGTGAAAATTTGTCTTGCTGGAAATGCAAACGGAAGTGGAATGTAAAGAGTGATTCTATAAGGACCTAGGGTGAGCCTGTGGTTAATTCAGACTCCAGGTCTGTGTCCCTAGCCTGGTTGGCTCCTACAGTGTTTATAACAGTCACAGGCCTCCTGGGTGACACCTCTACCCCTATGCTGAGGCCTTGGGCATACGCTGTCTGCTGTGGCATTTGCTGCGGCCTCCGCTGCCTTCTCCCAAGGCTGTTCCCCTCTCCTGAACCATGAGGCTATTCCCCTCTCCTAAACCACGAGGCTGTTCCGCTCTCCTGAACCATGAGGCTGTTCCCCTCCCCTAAACCATGAGGCTGTTCCCCTC